GCTGAATCACGATTTCAGAGGACCATCACCCAAAGCCCACCCTTCCCCTAAGGATGGGGGTCCTCTCCCTGAGCACGCTGCCGCGTGAGCTGCCCTCCACCTGCTCACAGCCCTGGCAGCGTGTGGAGATGCTCACCCCCTTTGGGAAGGTCACTCCACTGAACTGGAGTCCTCCCCTCACATTCAATTTGAGGGGAACCAGGCTCCTGGCTTTAGGGTCTCCATCCCTGAGCACACACATTCTCGACCCCAGCTGGCGGGGAGCAGGGGTGGGGGGGGCCTCCTCGCTCTCTCATTGTGGCTGGCATTTCAACATGGCCTACAGGTGAGGAGACAAACTTTTTCCTGGTCCTTATTTTTAAAAAGTTGAACGGGGGGACCAGCAGTTACTGTAATGGCTATGTCGCTGAACTCCCATGTAGTCGACTATGGTTCGAGTCCTGGACCCGGTGGCTTAAACTCATGCCGGGCGCATGTGCGTGTGTGCCCAAGATCCTGAGAGAAGAATGAAGGGATTGCGGCGTGGCCATCCCCCCCTCGGGGGGTGATTTCTCGCTTTCTCTGTTTCTCTTTCTGGCAAGCAAATGCACCCTTATAGCAAAAACCTCTAAAAATTAATTAATTAATTTTAAAAAGCTGAGCGAGACGTGAAGTGACCCCCCCCACCCCTTACTAGTGTCGTTCCCGTTGCAGGAGATGCAGCTGGCGGCGTGGACTCGTGCTCAAAGCTTCAGTGGCAAAAAGTTCTTTCCAGCCCCAATTTATGGACAGACATGACCCTTGTGCTACACTGAAGCGAAGGTGGGCTGAGTCGCGCAGGGTCACAGCTGAAGGCCCTCTAACAGCAGTGCCCCGCCGTGGTGATGTGACCACGGCATCCCTCGCCAGCAGTGTGCCCGAGGGAGGTAGCTGGGGCAGCCGTCCATGGTACATGTGTGTGCTGAGACGTGAGAAAGGCCAGGTTCCAATAAAGCTTCAACAGTGACCCGTGTCTCAGTGCCCACGGGGCGGGCTGGGGCTAAGCGGGGCCTTTGTGTGACCCTCCTCCAGCCACCCCTGGAGCCCTGGGGAGCCCAGGAGTCGGCAGCGCCCACCGCACACGCAAGGAGACGCCCACCGCACGGTGCCTTGCAGAGCTTTTATTCACCCGCCTGCCCGGGCTGCGCCCACGCATGACGTAACCAAGGGCAGGGCCGCACACGGACAGGGAGGTGGGACGAGACCCGACGGCGCAGGAAGGGGCGCTCAGCAGGTGTGAGGCTGCGTGGGGACAGGGCAGGCCGGGACAAGGGGCTCCGTGTGGAACCCGGGAGACAGGTCGGGAAGAGTCCCTTCGTGGCTGCGGTCTGAGACCATGAAAGCACATCTCTGACAGAAACCAGAGTGTCGTCCATGACAGACCATTACACATGGACAGATGTGACCGCGACAGTGAGCGATGATGTCACTTCTGCCCTCGGTCACATCAGCAAGTGCCGTGGTCACGTGGCTTCTGATGTAGGATTTTATTATTCTGTAAAAGGTAACAAAATATACAGAACAAAAGTTTCCCTTTTTAAAACTAACGTTACAAACCCCTATTATCACTTATATATAAATACTACACTCTAACTGATCAGGTGTGTAAGTCCAATGGTGGATTCTAAAGGCTAAGCAAAAAAAAAAAAAAAAAAAAAACAAGAAAAAGCTTAGCAAGCATCCTCCCACGCTGCTCACTGCATGACGGCGCAGGTCTGCCGGCTGAACTGAATGGAGGGGACTCTGAGGGCGGGACAGTGCTTCGGACTCGACTGGCACCCCAATTCCCACCCTCCGAACACGAGCTACGGGTGGAGGCTTCGTAGCAATCAGGAACAAATCAATCTGAGCTCATTTCAACAGAGGAAGAGATGGCACGGTGTGAGCCACCCCGTGGTCTTTAATGACCCCGACCTCGTCTCACACAGGCCGACTCTCAACTCCATCCAGCCTGCTCCACACACACACGGGAAGGGATTCGAGTGCTCCCAGAGCCAGGCCTGTTTGGCACAATGGTACAAGTGGGAAAGCAAACCCAGGAGGCTTCCGCTGGCTCCCAGCCCGGAACGTCTCGGCTGGGAGAACTGCTCTCTGGAAATGAACTGGAGTATGACAGGACAGGGGTGTCTAGGTTTAGAGTACTAAGGGTGCAAGCGGGAGGCGGGGGGCCGACCGGCAGAGCCCTGCAGCAGGGCGCCGCCTGCCCGCGGGGCGGCCCGGCCTCTACATGGCCTCGAACTCGTCGATGCGCTGCTTGGTGTTGCCCTGCCGGATCTGCCGCAGCGTCTTGTACTTGTCCCGGCCCTGCCTCATGTTCTCGTTGTGGATGATGTCGTTGTGGGTCCTCTTGTTCTCGTCTCTGGCCTGGGACAGCTCGTTGCTCAGCGTCTGCAACACAAGCAGCACCGGTCAGGTCCGCTCCTCGCCCCGTCGAGCAGGGAGATGCGGACCCTCCCCGAGGGGGCAGGAAGGGCCCGGGGGTGGCAGCCGGCTCCTGGGGCGCCCGGGGAGAGCCCCCCTCCCCGCCCGCCCGCCCCCCAGCAGCTGCCGCTGCACGCGCTCATTCTTCTCGGCCTCGGTGATGCGCTTCTCCTCGTTGCGGTCGTCCCGGATGCCCTCGCTGGAGAGCTCGGCGCTGTAGCCCGTGGACTCGGCGCCCTCCTCCTGCAGGCCCTCCTGGACGTGGTAACTCACGGGTTCATACACGGGCGGCGGCGGTGGCGGGGGGGCCGTCATCACCAGGTGCAGCTCCTCCTTGGTCTTCACCAGGTCGTCCTGGGCTTCCTTGGCCTTTGGAAGCAAATGAACAGGTGAGGACCTCTCAGCAGACCCTCCCGCCAGGACCGTTTTTCTTTTCTAATTGTTAGCACACGGGCCTGCCAAAGAGCAAGCAGGCACCCAATGGAGCACGGCCGTGCCACGCCCTCCTCTCTCCACCCCTCCATCGCATCGATTTGGGGCACGCGCCTGGAATGTTTCTAAAGCCACCAGGACCTGATCTCCTGTTCCCTCCCTCTCAGCAGGCTGAGCTGCACCGAGCTCCCGGTGCAGGGTCTGCTGTCACCCATCACTGTCTCCCTTCCGTCATCTTCACACGGGACCGTCCAGCCCCGGAGATGCGCTCTCTAGCCGGCTTCTTTCCCTTAACGCTGTGTGCTGAGCCCTCCCCCCAGTCCTGAGAACAGAGTTTGTGTGGCCGTGGGAGTGGGGGTGGGAGAGGCCTATGAGGAGGGCCCAGGCCACAGCTGCTGGGACAGGCGGGCCACTGGCACCTCCCCAGAGGGGCTCACTGCCGGTGGGGAGCACAGGTGAGGGGCTGAGAGGGGACAGACTCCTGAAGCCCGCGTTGTCTCCCCACCCTTCTCAGGACTGAGCCTTCCCAGGGCCACACAGGATCTTGGGTGGACGTCGGCTCTGCCGGGCCTCCCGAGCTCAGCCCTGACACATCACGCTTCTACGCCAGCCCTGGACACGTGCCCACTGCCCTTTCATGCTGGGTCTGCCCCCTCCTGCCGAGCGGGAACTGAGGCCTGTGACCGGCAGAGCCCTGGCCCCTGGCCCAGCCCGCACCCTTTCCACGGTGCCCGGCTGTGCACGCCAGCTGGCGGGAGGTCTGGTTTCAGGCCCAACACACCATGGTAGGGGACGCCCACGTAATCCGCTCCAGGCCCCGAGTGGGGCTGTGTGACCGCAGCAGCGTGGGGCTGGCACGTGGGGACCGGCCACTCACCCAGTGCTGCCACTCTTCCACCTCGTCCTCCTTGCGCCGCCGCGCCTCCTCCAGGAGAGCGATCTTGGCCGTGTACTCGGCGAGCTCTGCGGCCTGGGGGAACACGGGACAGTGCCTGCTGGAGTTCCTTCAATGGGCCCATGTGTGAATGAGTTCTCGTGGGCTGGTGAGCAGGCCCCACCCAGACACCCCGCGTCCCCCGTCTCCTTGCAGCCGGAAGGCTCCATCTGGGCAGCCCTGTATCTCTGAGGGACCTGCCTGGCACTCAGGAACAGAGCGCTTCCCCGAGCCATGGATCAGCTTACAGCCCCCGCAACAATTTTGACAGGGCAGGTGTCACTTTGGCGCTGCCTGGAGTAGCCTCTCCATAATTCAGCACCCCGGAGCGCGGCAGTCCTACCAGCTGCTCCTGGCTCTTTATCTGGTCCGGCGCC